TAAGGGGGTTTTGCAGAAAATTTAAAACTTTTTCCCCTCTCAAAAACATTATTTTTTCCCAGGAAATAGGAAATATGGTTACTCATCATAAAGTATCTATATTAATATTTAATTAGTTAATTATCATTTTAGATGTAATCATTTAAAAATATGTCTATCTTTAGGAGCTCTCAATCACTTTTTTTTAATTTGACAGAGCAGTGAGAGAAAGAGAGAGAGAGAGAGAGAGAGAGAGAGAGAGAGAAAGGCCTTCCTTCCGTTGGTTCACTACCCAAATGGCCGCAACGGCTGAAGCTGCGCTGATCCAAAGCCAGGAGCAGGTGCTTCCTCCTGGTCTCCCACGCGGGTGCAGGGCCCAAGCACTTGGGCCATCCTCCACTGCCCTCCTGGGCCACAGCAGAGAGCTGGACTGGAAGAGGAGCCACCGGGACTAGAACCCGCCACCCATATGGGATGTTGGCGCTGCAGGCGGAGGATTAGCCAAGTGAGCCACGGTGCTGGCTCCAGCTCTCAGTCACTTTTAAGAATGCAAAGGGGATCTAGATCATGGGAAAAACATGAGACGTTGCCAAGTCCTCTATTTTATTATGTTAATCTATTCCTTTGCAGTTATCACTTTACTTAAATCATTGCAATTTTTTAAAGGATTTGTTTTTGTTTATTTGAGAGGCAGAGTTACAGAGATTGAGAGAGGGGGAGAGACAGACAGAGGTCTTCCATTCTCTGGTTCACTCCCCAAATGCCGCAATGGCTGGAGCTGGGCTGATCTGAAGCCAGCAGCCAGGAGCTTCATCCAGGTCTCCCACGTGGATGCAGGGGCCCAAGGACTTGGGCCAACTTTCACTGTTCTCCCAGGCCATAGCAGAGAGCTGGATCAGAAGTGGGGTAGCTGGGACTTGAGCTGGTGCCCATATGAGATACAGGTGCTGCAGGCAGTGACTTTACCTGCCATGCCACAGCACCGGCCCCAGTCCTCCCTGTCTTTCACCCTCCCTTTCTTTGTCAAAATTTGACTTCTTTCAGGGTCCAGTCCAACATCTTTTTATCCTTGAAAAGAGGATCCCTCCAGAGGTCTCCCACCTCTCCTCTGACACCCCTAAACGTTTTGTTTACTGCCTCTTCCAGGTATCAAGTAATCTTAATCACTTGCCTGTAGATCTGTGGCTTCTTCTAAGTCGGCAGCTACACTGGTTAAGGAAGAAGTTGTGCTTTATTTTCTTTGTTGTGTCTTACATAATTGATAAATATTTATGTGATGCGTGGATTATTCCATTTAAATTATAAGCCTTAACTTAAGGCAGTGGTTGTCACACAGTGCTTGCATGTTCCCAGAGCCCGATAAGACACAAACCTGTTTTCCTAAGAAATTCTCAGAATGCTGACCCAGTCTTCACGGTGTTGTCCCGACGGGCAGGAACCTTGGTCTGAATGCCAGCTCTGCCTTTACTAAGAAGGCGAACCTAAACAGGAGACTGGATCTCACGGCGCCTTGTTTTTCCATTAGTAAAATGGAAACAAAAACGATGCTCACCATGAATGAATCCATGCAAAAGCCTTCTTGCAACAACACAAGAAGGATTTAGAAAAAGGCCTCACGTGTTATTTTCCATCCATTGTTAAAGCCTTATTTTATATTCCCAGTTATTTGCTGTATTCCCTTCCAAGGGCTTGTGGGACTTTTTTTTTTTTTTTTTTTTTTTTTTTTTTTTTTTTGACAGGCAGAGTGGATAGTGTGAGAGAGAGACAGAGAAAGGTCTTCCTTTGCCATTGGTTCACCCTCCAATGGCCGCCACGGCCAGCACGCTGCGGCCGGCGTACCGCACTGATCCGATGGCAGGAGCCAGGTACTTATGCTGGTCTCCCATGGGGTGCAGGGTCCAAGGACTTGGGCCATCCTCCACTGCACTCCCTGGCCACAGCAGAGAGCTGGCCTGGAAGAGGGGCAACCGGGACAGAATCCGGCGCCCTGACTGGGACTAGAACCCAGTGTGCCGGCGCTGCTAGGTGGAGGATTAGCCTAGTGAGCCATGGCGCCAGCCTGTGGTACTTTTGAGTGCAAGTAATTGAAAGAAAAAGTCATGGAATTTGGATGACTTTTCAGGTACAACTGCGAGGAATGACTTGGGGCCTGGTGGAACCTTTCTCCCCCTGGGGTTTGGTTTCTTTTCCCATCTACGTCAGCTGGAAGAAAGTGCCCTGAATCCACTGTACGTGAGTTTTGCAGATGCCAAGTCCCAGGTTGCAAAGGGCGAGACTAATATAAAGATAGACGGAGACGCCTCCCACTGATGTTCTCAGGGGCCGGGCTGAGCTTGTCACTGCCCACGTCAGCACGCTGCTAGCCACAGCAGCCCTTGTCTTTCCTCCACAGCGCTGACAGTTCAGCTCCCGAGACGCTGGGCTGGGATCCACAGTCTCGCCTGAGGAAGCCGTGGCTGGGGTTCCTGTAAGAGTCTCACCCTCTCTGCTGGACGGCCGTGTCCACACGGCAGACCCTGCTTTGTCATCGTGAACTTGACCCTGTCTGTCATTTGCTGTTTACAGCTACTGCTCTCCTTTTCTCCCCTAGATTAATACCAAGATATCAGTGTCTACCCTGAACGCTGTTGCAACTCCAAGAATCATAGACCTGGCCCACCCAAGGATGAAGTTGGAGGGTCTGTGCTATGAAAGAGAAAGAAATGAAAGGCCCATCCGCCCGGTAAGCCCCCCACTCGCTTTCTGCTTGATCCCAGGGTACCATTTAGCCTCCACAGGGCTGCGGCAGGAAGGAAGACTCGGCTCTGTGATACGAAGGGCCGAGGCGTTGAGGGCAACAGCCTGGACCTTGGGTCAGCCGAGCTGGGTTCAAATGGCAGCCTCACCACGCCAGCTCTGACGCTGGGCCTGCCTTCCTGAGCCTTGGGCGGTCATGTGTCTCATGGTGTCTCAGTCACCGCAGATGTGTGACACTGGGCCCGTAGGACTGTGACTCGGAGAGATGTAGCTGTGTTCGATGTGGAAGGAACTCTGGAATTCCCACAATGGCAAAGCTGGCCAAGAAGCCCTTCTAGGGCGGGTCCCCTTGTGAAGCGAGCTGTGACTGTGTTTGAGTGCCTACTGGGTGCCAGGCTCCGTTCCCAGCGAACAAAAGGGAGCTCCGTGCCCCCGAAGGGAGATAAGCGATGAGTTAAGTCGCTAGGTAAGACAGAGTCGGGGAGTGGCAGGTGCCGTGGGGATGGTAAAATAGGCAGCGAGTGAGCTGTGGTCATCAGGAAACACTGCTCTAAGGAGGGAAGCTTGGAGCTGAAGGAGTAAGAAGTCAGCCAAGCCAGGAGCAGAAGTCCCCAGGCTGGGATGCACAGTGATTACCTGGGGATTTAAAAGGCCAAAACAGAAGTCCTTCAGACAGAGTGATGCCAGGCAGAAAGACAGACTTCTGGGACGTGCGCAGAGCAAGGTGCGAGCCCTAACTCTGAATGAGAGCAAAGGCTAGGAGCCGTGTCCTCCTTCAAATTTCTCCAATGAAGCAACATAGCCCAAAGGCAGTCGGGCCTATGTGGTTTTCAAAGTGAGACCATTGGGTCCACACTAGTTGTGTGCCAGAGCCGAGTCCAGCTCCTGGCAAACACGAAAGAGCCGAGGCTGAGGGAGGCAGGGCTAGCAAGTGCAAGGGTCCTGAGGCAGAAGGGATGGGGGAGGGGGCAGCCGGCAGGTCCCCTGGGGGCTTGGGGACCACCAGGAGGAGATTGTGAGTCGCCGTGAGCAGACCGAGCAGCCACACAGGCAGGACGGAGGCCTGGGAGTGATGTGGTCTGACCTGAGCTGGGAAGTACTGCTGTGACGAGCAGGTGGGACGGCACCGGTGAGGCCAGATGGCGCAGGGTGCGTGTGGGAGCAGGGAGACCGGGGAGTCTACTGAATAACCCAGGAGAGTGGTGACTCCAGCAGGGGTGCAGCCGTAGGGACGGGGAGAAGTGGCAAAGTTTGGGGTCTTATTTCTGTGTGTCTGTTCCCACCCTAGGTAGCCCCCGCCGCCTTGCTTGCCACAGCCAGCCCTCGAATAATAGCTCTGGCTAAGTCCAAGCCCCTTCACCAAGATTACCTACCTGCTCGTGACGCCTGCTGGCCAGTGTCGTATGCTGCTATTCATCCAAAAGTATCACCCAGAATTCAAGAACTGGCTAATCCAAACACCCGGTATGTGGATGTCAGGCCGGAGCGTCACAGGGAGGGCTGGGGTTGCGGGGAGAGGGAGAAGGGTGGCCTGCAGGACCAGCAGAAAGAGTAGTAGAAGCACAGATGAGTTCTGAAACATCTGCCTCCCTTGTTATGTTACTATGGCAAAGCCGTGGTCTTATCACCAGAAACAGAAGCCTAGCATCACAGGGTTAGGGGCTGGGTGTTGAGATTAGCTCTAGCAGTCAGTGAGGGATGATTTATGCAACATCTTGGTAAGTAAAATGAACTACAGAGCAGAGTACGTAACACACAGAGACTGTGTAAGACGGCAACTGTGCGTGTGTCTGCCTGTGCCCACGGCGACTCAAAAGTATATGCCAGGGGCTGGCACCATGGTGCACTTGGCTAATCCTCCGCCTGTGGTGCCGGCATCCCATATGGGCACCGGTTCTAGTCCCGGTGGCTCCTCTTCCAGTCCAGCTCTCTGCTGTGGCCCAGGAGAGCAGTGGAGGATGGCCCAAGTGCTTGGGCCCCTGCACCCCATGGGAGACCAGGAGGAAGCACCTGGCTCCTGGCTTCAGATCAGTGCAGCGCCGACTGTGGCGGCCATTTGGGGGGGTGAACCAACGGAAGGAAGACCTTTCTCTCTGTCTCTCTCACTGTCTATAACTCTACCTGTCAAATGAAAAAAAAAAAAAAAAAAAAAAAAAAAGAAGTGTATGCCCAAGCCAGCAACAGGAGCAAGACTTGTTTCTCATTAATTAGGCTTTTGTGTTTTTTCAATATTTTTCATCATGCACACGTATGACCCGTTTCAAATAAATAAGGAAATATGCTTAACAAGGAAGAAAGTGCCTCTTCTTCCGGTTGTTATTTTTTGGGGGGGAAGGGAGAAGGGGCCTCTTCACTTGCCTGGACCTCACCTCATTTTGTTACCTCCAGAAGATAACAATTGATTTCCCCCATTTGAGCATCATCGGGAAAACCTAGGAGAGGCAGGAGAAGCTGTGGAGGTCTTGAGCTCAGGGAAAAGGAGATGTGTTGGTTCTTACGAAGTCTTTTTTAAATGTCATCACGTGCTTGTCCGTGAGCAAAATAAGGTTCACCGTGAAAGCTCCTGCCACTCTCTGCGGGCTGAGGAAGGGAAGGGGCAGTGGGTTCCCAGAAGGTGCATTTCAAAGGTGTGCTTTCCCCCCAGTGCGCCCGAGGGGGCTTGTTTTAACCTTGCCAAAATGATGGAGAAACTTCCAGAATTTACTTGCTGTCCAAAGAGCAAAAGCTGTAGAATCAGAAAGACATGCAAATCTGGATTCGGCCATAGAGCATCCTTTTTTTTTTTGTTAAGATTTTTTTTTTTTTTTGACAGGCAGAGTGGACAGTGAGAGAGAGAGACAGAGAGAAAGGTCTTCCTTTGCCGTTGGTTCACCCTCCAATGGCCGCCGTGGCCGGCGCACCACGCTGATCCGAAGCCAGGAGCCAGGTGCTTCTCCTGGTCTCCCATGGGGTGCAGGGCCCAAGCACTGCACTCCCTGACCACAGCAGAGAGCTGGCCTGGAAGAGGGGCAACCGGGACAGAATCCGGCACCCTGACCAGGACTAGAACCCAGTGTGCTGGCGCCGCAAGGCGGAGGATTAGCCTAGTGAGCCGCGGCACCGGCCTGTAGGTGGTGTCTTATCTTGTGTGCCACGACACCAGCCCCCATCAATCATTCTTCTAACTTTTCTGAGCCTTCTCTCCTTGTCTGTCCACTGGGGGTCGTGAAAACCAAAACAGGGCGTCAAGTGCCAGGCGCACGCTGGGCGTGGGGACACATCAGTTCTGGTTTTGTGCACCTCATTTCAAGTTGACCTCTTTTCCCCATTCCAGGTCTCCCATGCACATTGTCTACTACGATCCAGATGTCTTTAAAGTCAAGCCCAAGGCCTTGAAAGCACAGTGTTCTGCCAGGGTCCAGGAGCTGGCACAGCCGCTTGCACGTTAACAGCAGAAAGCCGCAGCAGCCGGACACTGGTCACCTATCTAGAACGCATAGTGGATACCTTAGTTCCCTGCTCTGGTGTGGGCAGATCCATACCCCCAACTCGTCCCCCTCCCCAGAACTGGGGCCTCCAGGAAACACCCTGGTGATGGGCAGGTAGCAATTGCTACTGTTAGCCGTCACCATATCTTTAGCCAACTCTGGAGCCTCCAGCCTGCAATAAAAGAGAAGAAGAGAGTCTGCTGGTCACCCTGTGTCCTTACGAGCACCTTGCCTGCCCGCTGGCCACGGCTGGCCGGAGGAACACTTTTCCAGGTATTTGTGCGGTTTGCTCTTTCCTTCCCCAGTGGCTGGTCCTGCCACCTGGGAGCAGAGACCAGTCCTTGAATTCCTTTGCAAACTCCCCTTATCACCTAGGGAGAAAAACTGCTGAATGGTGAAATCTTTTTGGATACATTGAAATGAGTTTTGTAGCCTGTAGCTGAGGTTTAGGGAGCAGCTTGCTTTAATTCATCACAAGCCCACCAATCTCTGTTCCTCCCTCGTGCTCAGAGTTGACTTCTGTGAATAACAGAGAGTAGAATGGTAACACACAGCTCCTGCTCTCTGAGTGCTCATTCAAACATCGCGTCTATCCAGAGTTTGTATTTGTCTCCATGCATCAGTGTTTTATGAATTGTGCTCATTTTTACAGAGGTATATCTGTATTTCCATGAATGGGAACTTAACTTGAAAGCCAGCTTCACAGATGAATGAGTTCTCTCCTTCAGGCTTCCGTGTCATGGACAGATTCTACTACGCTGTAGCTTTGAACTTGAGTTTTAGAATCTGACCTGAGTTTGTATCCTTCGTGGATCCTTAACCAGAATTGGGATTTTTTTTAAATAAAATAATGTTTTAATTCATTCACTTATTTATTTTATTTGAAAAGTAGAGAGAGAAAAAGAAAGAGGGAGGCAGACTGGCAGATTTCCCATCCATTGGTTCACTCTCCAAATGCCTGCAACAATTAAGACTGGGCCAGGCTGAAGCCAGGAGCCCAGAACTCACTATGGTTCTCCCATGTGGGAGGCAAAGACCCAACTACTTGAGCCATCACCTGCTACCCCCCAGGCTGAGCACTCAGCAGACTTGAATCCATGCACTCTGGCATGGAATGTTGGGGTTCCAACAGCGTCTTCACCACCTGCCGAGTGCCCACCGCCAAGATATGAGTAAGCAAAGGTCCTCAACTCCTCATGCCTCGCCTTTTTATGTACCAAGTGGGTTCCCACTGCATTGTTGTAAAGATTAGATGAGAAATGTATATAATAAAGTATGGATTTGAAAAAAAAAATGTCCTTTTAAACCTCAACTCTGCCTCCTGGGGCGGGGAGTGCCGTAATTCATCTCATAATTCATAATTTATAAATATGTGTTTTTACATTGAATGAACCTTGGCTGAGCGTCGTTGCCTTGCCAGGCAGTGTGCAGAGCCCTGGGGGTTCCTTAGAGAGCCAGAGTGATAAAGTCTGCTCTCGTGGTCTCTGCAGCCTGTCAGGGGAGAGGAGTCCAACTCAGCCATCACAGATAAATGCGAAATGAGAGTCGAGGCAAGTGCTAAGAAGTAGCACGAAGGGTTTTCAAAAGGTTCATGGAAAAGGTATGCATGAAAAAAACTGTGCATGTGTTTAAACTATTTTGCACCTGAAAAATGACCTTGTACTAAGTTGTTCAACAGGCATGAACAGGATCTCGTCTGAGACACTAGGAAGGATAAGACAGCAGTTTGAAATGAGTCCCTCTCACAGCAACCGGCTTCTGCTAAAATTGAAGCAACAATAAACATCCAATTGATGGCAACCTTGGGTGGGAAAATGGTGGAATCACTGATGCTTTACAAAAAGTTTAGGGAAACATTGTCCCAAAGAAATCAGCATTTTCCAAATGGATAACGGACTTGAAGAGAGGAGGTGCCAGCCACATCACCATGTAGCCTGCGATAGCAGGGCATCCACATTAACCTTGTTGGTGCCCTAAAGGATGAAGACCAATGACTAACAGCAGAAGCCATTGCTAGTGCTGTAGAAATCTCGGTTGGTTCAGCTTACACAATTCTGACCAAAGAACATAGAGAAAGCTTTCAGCTTAATGGGTGCCAGAATTGTGCCTTGATCAGCCACAGACAAGAACAAAATGTTCAATGGAAATTTCAGACCAGTGGGATCATGATCCCAAAGCATGATTTATTATACATAAATATTCTTAAATAAAAATCATAAGTTATAGAATAACGGGAGAAGCAGCATGGCTTTCCCAGGATGATCCTGAAAGTGCAGCACGGTCAAAGCCATGACCACCCGGAGGCGGACGTGGCCCGTTCAAAGCCAGAGTGGGCTGGCCCAAAGCAAAGGCCACAGCGGCATTTTGTGTGTGTGATGGTCAAGGTAGTTTGCTGGTTGACCTCTGGCAGCTGCAGAGTGACACCATCTGCTTACCATGAGACTGTTTTGTGAAAGCCGGCCAAGGTTTTATCAGAGAAATGTCTGGGAAAGCCTCAGACGGTCCGTCTCCAGCACAGCCTTTTGCTGCTCCTTTCTCTCTCGAACAAAGACAAGTTTGAGACGCTGTGAGAGCTTCAGTGGGAGGTCATCGGGCAGCCACCTGACAGTGTTGATCTGGCTCCTTCTGACCTGTTTTGTTTCCTACTCTTAAAAAATCTTGGAAAGGGCACCCACTTTTCTTCAGCTAATGATGTAAACAAGACTGCATGACTTGGCTACGCCCCCAGGACGCCTGGGGGTTTAGAGATGGACTGAATGGCTGGTGTCATCCCTTGGCATCAAAGGATCTTGAACTTGAGAGTGTAGGTGGGGAAATAAGAGTTCATGGTTTTTGTTTTTTAATTCTAATTTCCCACACCCACAACCTTTTGAAGTCCCCTTGTATTGAAGGAACAATTAGGCTGGAATCTGAAAGCTGGGTAGGACCAACTAGCAGAGACGCACGGAAATGCCTTCGAGGTCACCGAAACGCAGCTCATGTCCAGCCTCCATTCCTCCTCCTGTAAGGACTCCTGGTTTTCTTCCGCGGGATTAACTTCTCATTGTTGAATGCTTCATTGGGATTTTTACTCAAGGTGTGCTGGCCCAGGATGAGCAGGTGACCCAGGCCAGCTAAGTCCATGCAGTGTCCCTTGGGACTTGGGGTCTTAAGTAGAATAATGCAAGGATAAGGGGTGTGAGTTTCCCCCATTATGGTGCCCTGGTGAGACTTTTTTTTGCTCCTTACCAACTGAATCCTTGGGGTTTCCTAACTCCTTCCCTGGTCTCCATTACTTTTTTTGACTCAGGAGCTGCTGATGGCCTCGCAGTAAACCCCTTGTGGCACCTGGGGTGATGCACTGGGGACAGCAAGGCAGCCAGGGGGGTTCAGATGGAGAGAATAAAGGAACTGTGCAAGGCTAGAGGAGGCTGAAGAGTGGGTGCCAGGCCATGCCGGGCACTGGGGGTCAAGTAAAGAGTTTCGTCTTCATTCCAAAACCAGTGGGAAGCTATTGAGTAATTGAAGCCTAAGGATAACAGAGTTGCCTTTTGCAGATACTACTCCGGCACATAAACGGGGCTCAGTGCGGGTAAGTGGGCCGCGTTAGGAACTGTTTGGTTTGGCCAAGGTGCAGATGGAAGTGGTCACAGACTTGAGAGGGATTGGTGGGGAGTGTGTTTGCAGGATTAGGTGGAGGGTTGGATCTGGGAAGGGGAAGAAGGAAAAAAGATAATTCCTGAGTTTCTAGATTATGGAACGGGATAGGTAGTGCCATGGTTTCCAAGTGTGTGTCCTTCCCAAATCCATGTTGAAACCAAATCCCCAGTGCGACAATATTAAGAGGCGAAACTTTAGGAGGTTGTCATTGAGGCCCCTGTTCTCATGAATGGGTCTGTGCCTTATGACAGGGTTTGAGGGGGCCGGTCTCTCCCTTCCACCATCTCAGAATGCAGCAAGAAGGCGCCATCTTGATGCAGAGAGCAAGCCCACACCAATCGCTGAAGCCACCAGCCCCTTAACCCTGGACCTCTCCATCTCTCGAACTGTGACAAATAAATTATTCCAGTTTCCTCAGTCAGCAGTGTTTCTCATAGCACCTGAGTGGACTGAGAAAGTAAGTGCCGGAATATACAAATGGACAATAGCCAGGCCACGTATGGTGGTAAGAGTGTGCCCTACAACCTCTGCAGTAACCAGGTCAGGCAGCCAAACCACAGCCTTCATGGAGGTCGTCCTGGAATGATCAGGATTTGATCAGCAGGGTCCTTCACTGGGGGCTATTTTTAGCCTGTCCATCTAACTCAGGACCTACCGGAGAAAGCCAAAGATGTTCCCTGAGCCACTCACATGAGATGCCCTTGTCCTAGTTCGTCCCCTCCAACTTCCCCAGTGACCTCTAATCAGAGCCCTTCCACAGTCTACCTGCACCGCCTCCTGGAATGCTGCTTCCCCACTCCCCCAGCTGCCCCGAGTCTCTGTCCCACGCAGGTGGCGGTGGCCGGCTCCCTCCCTCTGAGTAAGTAACCTCTGGACGTCCTCATTTCGGTGGCCTGGGCTCATTTCCACAATGACGAGCCTTCACCGATGTGGGAAGCCTTGCAGCTTCTGATCTTGCCTCTGGGGAAGAAACACAGCCTCCAGGAAAGACCCCTCTTGGGGGAGGCCCCACCTTCTCACGGCCCCTCAGAGCCCAGCCCCCAGCTAACCCTGTGCTCAGTGCATCCACGGGAGAGCAGAACACTGGCCTTTCTTTCAGCTAACCCACACAACTGACCAGAAACAAATGGATGCTGTTTTGAGGTCTGGGATTCATTTTCCAGGGGAAGAAATACGCTTTTTCCTTTAATTTTCATAGGTTCTTAGCTAAAACAGATTCCTTTAGCAAAAGACACTTTAACAAGAGAAAAAGAAATGAGGGTACTTTTTAAAGATTTATTTTATTTGAAAGGCAGAGAGAAGGAAGAAGGGAGGGGGAAAGGAAGGGAGGATGAGAGAGGTAGAGAGAGAGAGAGATAGCAAAAGAGATCTTCCATTCGTGTGCTCACTCTCCAAATGGCCGCAATACCTGGGGCTGGGCCAGGCTGAAGCCAGAAGCCGGGAACTCCATCTGGGTCTCCCATGTGGGTGGCAGATACTCAAATACTTGGGCCATCTGCTGCTGCCTTCCAGGTGCATTAGCAGGAAGCTGAATGGGAAGCAGAGGAACCAAGACTG